AAGAGGCCAGTCTGAGGTTGGACAGACAGCTGCTGCACAGATATCTTTGCACAGTATTTTTTTTTTGTTAGGGTTGCAGTGACCTCTGTGCAAGGTTGAAGTTTTGCAGAGTCCTTTGTGATAACTTTTGTTATCAGGCATTCATGCATGAAACCTCCCTTCATGGCCTTCCCTGGCTCTATTTATCAGGGGGTTTTTGTTTTCGTTTTTTACAGAAGTGATTCCATTTTGAGCCTGACAACTTTCACAGTTTTTATATTCATCTCTCTGGCCACTAAAGGAAAGTGGATTCAATGCATAAGTGCTTTAACCCCATGTGGTAAGTAGTGGTCATTTCCCAAGATTCTAGCTCTGACTTTTATCTGCTAAACAGTCTGGGTCAAGACCATAATTAACCTCTGGTATTCTAAGATTCCTTCTCTATAGGACAAGAGATCATAGTGCCTACCTCATGGGATTTCAGTGAGGATTAAATGAGTTAATATAGTATCTAAGTGCTTAGCACAGTATCTGCCACATAATAAACATCATATAATGTCTTTTACTGTTATTTTTATTGATTTGGCTCCCAAATAAATGCTATTAGATGTGAAAGGCTTAGTTCTTCAATTAAAGGGTTTCTCTTTTATTCTGCATTTTGTTATCTGGTTCTTCCCAGTTTCTAGATTTATGTTGGTTCTTAGATGACCCAACATTAATTCAAGGTGCTTGACATCCTGACAGCAAAGGGTAACAGGAAAGAATGACAGGAAAGAAATTTAAGCTCCAGGGCTGTTGGTTTTTGTTACTCTTTAAGAGTAATCAGTACTTGTTGGTTTAGGTGGTTCTCTGTTTGGAGTGCATTGTAGTCACCTGTGGACTTTTAAAATTCTAGATTTTGGGTGTTACCTCTCATTTACTAAATTGTGAGGTTCAGAAAATAGGCTGTTTTTCTCAGCCTCCTCATTTGGTGCTGTTATTCATCAAAACTTAAGGATCACTGGTATATTATTTTTTTGTTAGACTTGAACTTATATTTACATGTGTTAATAAAGTCACTTATTCATTGAACACATTTTTTTTTATTGACTAGTTTTTCTTGCTAGGCACTGCTTTCTAGTGGGAGAGATTGAAGAGAATCAAACAGATAAATTTACAAGAAAATATAAATTAGCAATAAGATCTGTGATAAAACAAGGATGACATGAGTCACTGAGGTCTTCCTTTAGAGAGAATAGTCAAAATAATAGGCATCTGAGGATTTGGGCTGGAGGCTGAATGATAAAGAGGAGCCAGTCACAGGAAGTTGGGGGGGGGGAGACTTCAGGCAGAGGAAACAGCAGGTGCAACGGCCCTGGGGCAGGAATGAGCATGACAAATTTTGAGTCCAGAGGGCAAGGGGAGTACAGTATGGGAGGGGACTGTAGAGCTACCAGAGGAGATCAGATCATTAGAGCTATGTAGGGCCCATAAGGAACTGGGATTCTATTCAAAATGCAATGGAAAACACTGAGGAGTTTTGAACAGGAGTGTAATATTATCTGATTTATATTTTTAAACAATTGCACTGGCTTTGTGGAGAATGGATTTTAATGGAGGTGAGGTTGGGTAAAAATCTTTTCAGCCAAGGAGGCTTAGTATGTTTTAGCCCCCAGCCCTATAGAAAGATATTAAAATTAAGCTAAAAAGCCCAGCTTAAATAACAACAGGCAGTGACTTGGAATCAGCCACTGCAGTGATTCTGCAGGGGTGGAGATGAAAAGTGAGCATCAATTAAAGGAATTAAAATCATAGTTTGCTTTTATTTCCAACAATTAAGCATTTTCGAACCTGACTGTCCCGCACTTAAAATGTCCAGTGGGTTCCCACATGAAGATCTGAGGAAGTGGTAGTGGAGGAGACAGAGACATTCTAATGTTCAGGGTCACTCACCCGAGGAAACGGCATCTGTGGACTAACTTACCTCTCTGATGTGCTCCTCAGGGCCGCCCATAGTCTTTGGAAAATTATAGCAAGTAAAATAACTAATTGTGCCTCTTGATTTTTATGATATCTCTCTGAAAACTCTGTTATGAACATCTGGACTTATGAGTGGTAGAAACACGCAACCAAGTCTCCCCCCACACACACCTGCCTCTGGTGCCATCCATCCCTGCTCGACTATTCCTACTGTTTCCGTGANCCACACACACCTGCCTCTGGTGCCATCCATCCCTGCTCGACTATTCCTACTGTTTCCGTGAGAGGTGCCAGAACATTGGGGCTGGACTTGGGGGTGTGGGTTGAACAGCCTGAGTTCGAATCTCTACTTCTTCACTTACTAGCTGAGTTTTCATAGGCAAGCTCCTTAACCTCTCTGAGTTTCGGGTGCCTTATCTGTAAAATAAAGATAATCCTACAAAGTAGGTTACTGCAAGGGGCAAAGGAGCAATTGCCTGCAAAGTACTTAGTGCAGTTCCTGGCATGGTGTCAGCACTACTTACATGAGTACTTTTGCCTTCGCATCATGTTCATTTGAAAGTCCTCTGGCCCTTGCTATTTAAAACGTGGTCCCCACACCAGTGGCCACATCCCTGGGGAGCTTGTCAGAGGCAGAAATGCACAATCTGAGTCCTCACTTCAGACCTGCCAAATCAGATTCTGCATGTGGACAAGATCCCAGGTGATTCTTGTGGGCATCGCTATTTAGAAGTGCCACTGTAAGCTAAAATGTTTAGGAGGAGAACTGGACCAGTTTTGATTATGGAAACCTGTTGACAGCAGCATTTGGGGTCAAAAAGGATCAGCACCAGGATGCAGAACATACGAGACCCTATCTAGCTGGGCATTCCTGGACAATCATGTAACCTCTCTGGGACTAAATATCATCTATAAAATGACTCACCCATTTTAGAGGTTTGTTAATAGGATAAAATAAAATGTGAAAACTGATGTAAAAGAGTGAAAAGTAAGTTATTTTTATCTTGTTTGTGTAGAAAAAGGACATCATAATTCCGATAGCTGTTACTACCATTTCAAATCATCTGGTTCCCCATTTCCCACATTTACTTGCTGAGTGGCAGAGGACAAGTCCTATCATTTGGTGTCTTGATTAAAATAATGGGGAATGACAGCAGTCAGAAACCACAAGCTTAGTATTTTTGGAAACTAAATGGGAGAGTTCGTAGTTTGGCTAATAGGTATTGCCCTAGAAAAGACGAGCACTGTGATCAGTGCGGCTGCTGATACCATTTACAAAATCATCACTGAATTGCAGTGTAAGTACAATGGCCATGTGCAGGAGTCACCAGGATGGTGTCCATGGTGTATTTCAATGAGACACATGTTTAGCAGCCACAGAAGTCTTTTTATTATTCCCAAACATCACAATCAAAGAAGAAACAAATGATTTTGCTTATTAGCAAAAAAATCTTCAAATACAAAAAACTCTGACATATTTCAGCACAAGAAAAACACACAGGTGCATGCACTAAGATACAATATAATATAAGAATTCATGGGGTGGGGGGATGGGATGTGAGGACATTGAGAAGGCAAAAACTGATATTATCTAGGGTAGGAAGGGATCTGACAGATGCCAGCGCTAGTCAGTAAATCTCACCCCGTGCTCACAGGAATAAATTGCTCCACTTGACAAGGTACAGGGGTTGATAACAGGGTCACCCAACTTTAACACCATCTTGAACAAAAGGAGCAATGAGCCAAAAAAAATTTTCTTTCACAGATCACGTTGAAGAAATCATGTGATAGACTCACAATTATGATGAGCAAAGAGAGAGAGCCCAAGAAAGCCACGTGGCAGTTCCACAGCTTCTTGATCTATTTGAAACTACAGTAAAGTGATACTTTATGATATAAATACATACCTTCCCATGCAGGATTCCTTCTCTTGTTTCAAAGGCAGAAAAGCAAGGTATCAAAATACAAGCACAAGCACACAGGTATATTCTGATTGTCCAAAGCACTTTCTCTCTCTTTTGTTAGAATTTTGAAGGTTACTTTAGATTTAATGCATAACAACCCAACAACAACAGCCACAAAAACAGCAAAAATAGAAGTGGGTCACAGTTCCATGCTATTGGGGGTGGGGAGGGGCTGGCGGGAGTAAGAAGAGGAGAAAACAGCATAGCATTGCTTCTTTCACAGAGTTGTTTTTAGACAATTGTTTTTACTGTGAATAGAGTTGCAGAGTAGAAACTCAGTCTCTTATGGCATAAGTACAAAGCTGTCTGTGTAGCTGACAGCTGGAGGGTGTAACTG